CCCGCAGGGAATCTCAGACTCCTGAATCCAGTCACTGCAGGCAAAGCAGGGGCCCAGAGAGGCCTGGGGACCTCGCGCCCCCTCCCCCAACCCCCAGCCGGGAGCCCAGCCCCGTTTGTGCCTTCTGTCTTGGGCTGCTCTACCTCACACACCTTCCAGTCCACCCTCTCGACCAGCAGCCATCCGATGGGCACCTTGCTCTGTCATTTCGCCAGTTAACAGCACTTTCTTGACATGATAACTCCCAAGTTTTTATAAATTCAATAAATAACAGAACTTCTGAAACAGAAAAGAAAGCCAGAAACATGCCACTCCTGCTAAGGTGACAGGCACTCAGTATATGGGACCCTTAGGTACACTTGCCATGGGCAACCTCAGTCTGTTTCCACAGCAGCCAGACAGGGGCCACCCTTGTCTTACCCCACCCCGGGGACCTGGGCCGCGCTGACGGGGCTGAGTGGCAGACCCAGGTCTCCAGCCTGGGGCCTCGGGCTCTGTGGCTCAGGGCACGGTGGGTCATGAAATCAATTGAGTAGCTCACTGACCAGCAGAAAGAAAAGGACAGAAAACACCAGAGTGAGGGGCACCTGGGTGGCTCAATTGGTTGAGCGACTGCCTTCGGCTCAGGTCATGATCTTGGAGTCCCAGGATCGAGTCCCGCATCTGACTCCCTGCTCAATGGAGGGTCTGCTTCTCCCTTTGCCCCTACCCGCTCTCGTGCACTCTCGCAAATAAAATCTTTAAAAAAAAAAAAAAAAAGGAAAGAAAATACCAGAGTGAGGGAAAGGATTCCGTGTGTGTGCACGTGTATACACGGCTATATGTGTCAAGTGCAGGATACCTCGTGGGTGCCCAGGCCATGCATCTGCCAGGCCTCCCAGGGGCTCAGGCCTCTTGCCACACACACAGCCCACCTTCCTGGTGGAGTTCCTCCTGGACGAGTGCCTGCTACGGGTCAGGGATCCACCGGTCTGGAGCAGTTATGTGGATTATTGGAGGGTTTTCATTCTCTCACCAGAAGTGGGTCTGACATGAATCCACTTCTGCACACCTCCCCTTCGTTGTTCCCACCTCAGTTCTGGCACCCAACCCCAAAGAACCAGTCGCATTGTTGGCCATCCCCAGGGAGAACATTAATGTCTGTGTACTTACCACCCTTTGTTCATGGAGGCTTTGGAGACCTGGAAACTTCTGGAATCCATTTCCAGTGGTGCAGATTAGCACCGCTGTATTAAAACTCAGCTGTGCACCGAGGGCAGCCACCCACATCATTTTTCTGTTCAGTATATCCCTTAAGCAGAACTCTGAAGAGCAGAGTTTCAAACTAGCTCTTGTTGGACTGGAGGATTTATGTGCGCACACCTGTATATGCACGTCTGTGTATCAGACTTCCTTGTGACCTTGTGGGAAGAACCAGGGACCTGCATTCTCTTTTTCTTTATCATTCTTTCTCAGTCGTGTGCCACACGCTGTGCTGAACGGTTCATGTGTGCGAGGAGCCCCCCACGTGGCCATGGCAGGGGCCGGGACCCGCAGGGAAGGCGCAGCGGGGGGAAGGCCTCCAGCGCCCTGCCACACACTGTCGCAGAGCAACGGGACGGAGGGTGCCAGCCCTCGGGGTCCCCGGGACTCTGCCCTTCGTCACCTGGGGCAGCTCTGCCTCTCTTCACTTCCGAAGTGCCCCTTTTCTCATCCTCCTCAGGTTCTGGTTCTTCTGCTCCCCGCCCCCCCGCCCCCCCATCCCTCCTCACCCCTTCTCTGTCCGGCTGACCACGTTGATGGCCTTGGGGACTAGGATGTTGGCTGCCGGGGTGCTTGCAGATGATTCCCGGCACGAGGTTGGAGTGAGGTGAATTTGAGTCATCGTTCAAAAGGTCATTAAATGTCTTCAGCTCTATTGACATAACTGAAGTACAGTAAAACGTGGATCTTTAAAGTGGGATTTGATCCGTGTGGGCCTGTGGGAGCGCCTGCAACAGGGAAGCTCAGTGAGCAGAACCCTCCTCAGTGAGGAGCCCGGGAGGCTGTGGAGGGAGGCCCGCCAGGCGTGGGCGCTGTCCTGTGCGTGCGCGGTGTTTGCTGGTGAGCTCACTGAGGGAGTTACACACAAGGCGGCCACTACCCCGTTGTTTAGTTAATTAAATAGAAAATGAGGAAGGGCAGATCTACAGGATGGACAGCCCTCTGCTCAGAGGCCTGCTCCAAATTCTCTGGCTCTGGCCCCCCAGCACGGGAACCTCACTTTCTCCAGTTCCAGTGGGAGAAGGAGCGTGATACACGTATGTGACGGCCCCTGCCAAGGATTCTCCAGTTTCTCAGTGACCTGGAAGGGGAATATTCTGTCAGTACCTACTTTGGAAATATTGCTGGGAAAAATTGAGACAAATGTCATTTTGCTGCCAGTTTTTCGGGAAGACCCCCATTATGTGTGGTGACAAGTGGCCATGCAGGTTAGGTCCTGGAGTTTAGGGGATAAAAAATGAGGGTTTTCTTTGTGAAAGAAGTAAGAAGAGAGGTAAAAGCCCTGTGCGGGAGCAAGAAACATCTGTCAGGCCCTCAGCCTCACGAAGCATCTCTGTGGTGTCTTGTAAACATCCTGCCCCTGAAATATTGAAATGCACTGAGCTCTTTTGTAAAGAAAAGGCTTGTTGTTTGTTCTGCTCTTCCAGGGGAAGGGACGCTGGGCTGTGCTTCCTGGATGCCGTGTTGGCCTTCAGGGGTCAGAAGACTAGATCTCTTCTTGTGCCAGTAATCTCTTTCTAACAGTAAGAGAAGGAAGAGAAATGGCAGTGCTGACTTCATGTTGGTGTCAAAGAGCCTTTCGCTCGGGCCTCCTGGACCTTCGCCCCTTTGTGGTGGGACCCCCCCTCCCCCCGCCTCTGCCTGCTTGGAGGCCCTCTTCTGCCTGAAGTAGGCCCCCAGGTGGGCCTTGTTATTGCTGTCCATGTGCATCAGGGAGAGTAGAGCACCCCGTGGGCAGGGTGGAAAGGGGCGCTCTTTCCTGAGGGCCCCGGGCGGGGCACAGAGCAGCTGTCGGCCCCGCAGGGTGGGCCTCCCACCAGGCCACCCCCTGCTCGCCAGGGGGCCTTCTCCTGACCTTGCCGAGCTGGCCCCCCCATTTTCTGCAAGCTCGCAAGGTGCAACCGGGGGTGTCTGAGGTGTTGAGATGAGCATGACTGTGAGAAAACAGTGAAAGGGCATCCAGCGGGGCCTGGTTGGGTGCTTTCCAGGGCCCAGGAGCGGGGCGTCTGGTGGTTCTGGTGGCTTCTGATTGGTGTAGTATGACGAGCTGGCTTCTCAGAGCTCAGTCCACTTGTCCTGTTCTGTGAGAATATTGTAGGGGCTGCCCTTTCCCTTTTATGGTCTGTTCATTTCTGTTGGCTATGTAGGAAAGAACATCTTGTGGAAGATGGAAAGATTGCCAAGACCCATCCAGTCCAGCCTCTTCCCGTTTGTTGTGATGCTCCGAGGCTATTAGCTCATTTCCATGTGCCTCTGAAATTCCTTCGTGGATGTAAAGTTCGTTGGCATCCTGTCCTTAGAAGTTCAAAGGGCTTGCTGCCCACAAGCAAAGGGCAGAGCCCCTGAGTTAACACCCAGTCTTGGGAGTGCACTGTAGCCCAGGGGAAGGATTCTTCCCAAAAGATTTGTTTCTTCATTTCTACTTGTTTGTGTGTAAATCTATTTATAGTAGATTAAAGGAGAGATCCGGCCAGCAGTGGGTAATGATATAATTTACAGGGGCCCCAGCCAAAATGTTGAAATTGCTTACATTATCCCATTGCCACAAATGGATTACTATGCAGGGTCTCCCACTTTCAAAGGCAATAAAAACAAAGAGGGAAGGAAGGAAGCTTCTTAGGTGCTTGTAATCACTTCCGTGGAGGGCTGATGTTGAGCCAGTAAAGGAATACAAAGTGGTGGACTGCTCACTGCATATGAATAACTGAGAGGACTTGGGGCAGTAGGCATGGGCCTGCGACTGGATTCTGAAAACCGAATTCAGGTAGACTCTCCACCTAAAGAATGTGCCAGGAGATGCTGGGGCTCTGCCTCCACCAGCAGAGACCACTAGTCCTGGGCCCAGACTCCCATATTGTCTGGAGGGGCTGGGGTTCTGGCAAATTCATTCTGGGAAACCTTGAGTCAAGTGGATCTGAACTGAATGGCCCCTGCAGTCGGCTGGGTTGTTTGCGGCAGGCTGTGTAGACATGCGGCACCCCGCGGGCACACGGCGGGGGGCTGCTTGTGGCAAGGGCTCTGCTCTCCTTCCTGGCCCCGGGCGCCGTCCGCACACGCTGCAGAGGCGTGCGGTGCGTCTTCTCGGGAATGTGGAGGACCGTGTCTTCCCGCTCTCACTGTCTTTATTGTTATGATCAACAGCGTTGAACCGAATTGGTCATTGCTGGAAATTAAGAAGCTGTGGTTTTGAAGGGCACGTCCGTTGACCGCGTGCTGCGGGGCAGAGCTGGGCTGGCTGGGCTGTGTGCTTCATTGCCCGGTTATGTTTTGCATTTATCTGGTGTCTTGCAGAATTGCATTTAAAAACATCAGAACACCTAACTGAACCATGTCCCTTCTTCCCCTAAAGTTGACACACCACGGTCCAGTGAGGAACATGGTTCCTTTCTTTGTACACGAAATTAAACTAAAACAAAATTTACAACAAAGTGTCAGCGACATTAATACAGTTGAGAGAGTAACTTTTGCTAATACAAATTCTGTCATTAAGACAGGCTGAGGAGGGACGCCTGGGTGGCTCAGTCGGTTAAGCGACTACCTTCGGCTCAGGTCATGATCCTGGAGTCCCGGGATCGAGTCCTGCAGCAGGTTCCCTGCTCAGCGGGAAGTCTGCCTCTCCCTCTGACCCTCCCCTCTCTCATGTGCGCTCTCTCTCACTCATTCTCTCTTTCTCAAACAAATAAAATCTTAAAAAAAAAAGACAGGCTGAAGAACCCCCCCCGGTTTGTTGCTTACTGGATTTTCTGTCCTTCCTTAAGGTTCGCCATCGATGGTGCGAGCTCATTGTTAAGCACAGATACACAAGAGCCTACAAAGACGTGGAGAGATTCCTCCAGGAGGATCAGGTAAGTTTCCTTCTTCAGCAGATGGGAATTCTTTACTGCTGTCCCCTGACTTCAAGTGCACTTACTAACACAGGGACCCAAGTTGTGAACTTCTCTTTCATGACAAGTATTTAAACATTTTCCAAAGATTTCTAAGAAGTAGGTAGGAGCTTCCCTAAAACATTCTGGAGCTGATTTTCCCCTCTCTTGGTGTCCCTAAAGCAAACCAAAATGTTGGTTTGACGTGGCTGTGGACCACTGTCATTACCACATGACGCACACACAGACCTCACGGCGTCACCAGGTCTCGGGCCAGGCCGCGGCTTAGCTGTCCCGGTGTGCATCCGTGTCTTCAGCGGCTCTGAGTAGTCACGGAGAGCCCCGACTGCCTAGGACAGCCTGGTCTGTGCCTGCACCAGCCACGTCCCGCCACGCCCCTGTGTGTCATCCCGTCCCCCCCGTTTCCATTTCCCTTCCTGCCAGAACTTCCCTCACGATTCATGGGGCAAGGCGGTCACCTTCCCCGGAGCCCGCAGGAAGCACGAAGGAGCGTGAACATGTCTGGGGGTGCCCTCCTTGCCGCCTCTGCACACCCACATCTGCCCAGCGTGGCTGTGTGTGTGGGGGGGGGTGCCACGGGTTCTGTCAGCTTCTGGAAGGCAGCCTGCAGCTCGTTGCTGTTAGCGTGACCGTTGTGTGCCACCGAGCGAGCTTTGCGCTGGGCACTGTGGGCTGGCAGAATGGAGCCATGCTTGAGTGGGGGTGGGGCGAACAAAGGGACTTTTGAGAGGGCCTGAGTATGGGGGGCAGCCAGCAAGGAAGGGCTCATTCTTCCCACAAAGAAAAATACATGACTTTGTAGCAGAAGAAATGTCACATTTGCACAGTTGGAGCAGAGGTGTTTGGAAACACAGTCAGGGACAGAATGTAAGAAGCAACTTAAGGTTTCTTCTGAAAACCAAAAGTAACTGCTTTTTTAGAGCCAAGACCTTTGCCAAATAAGGATTACCACAAGTCAGCTTTCTCAGGGAAGAAGTTTTGAGCCCCAGACTACCGAGTTTTTATCTTGTGCTGTCTTTGAGATCTTTCTTTTAATTTGCTCCAGCAGAATGTAATGCATAACTGTGCTTAGAGCAAGAGAAAAGGCAGAACCAAAGGGGTCTTTTGGTCTTCCAGGATGTAATCGGCAATTTTTCAGACTGTCGCAAACTGCAGAGGTGGTGTTTGCTGCCCGGTGGGGCAGGTTGGGGGGCTCAGCCGGGCCGGGCCAGGCAGAAGCAGCGGGCACCTGTTCCGGGGCAGCAGGACGGTTCTCCCCCCGAGGCACCATGTGATGTGCTGGGGGCACTGTCCCGGGAGGAAGGCCTGCTTGCAGCCGTGCGGGTTTCCATGGCGGGCATTGTGGGGACCTCCCTGCCTATCCCTGGCATTCCTGACACAGTCATCCCTGCAAAAGCAGGTCGCCAAGGTTCTGTTGATGGAATGGATAGCTAAGAATTCTGGGGGGGGTCAGTGTGAACGAGAGAGAAGGGATGGAAAACTGTAGGTTGCAGAAGTATAGCTGGTCAACCATCTGTCTTTCTCGGGTCTCTGTCATTCCCAGACGGGCAAGTTTGTGTGCATGCAGACACCTCATTCCTGTCCCTCCCTCGCTCTGCCCCTGTGCCCTACAGGCCATGGGCGTGTACCTGTACGGGGAGCTGATGCTGAGCGAGGACCCCAGGCAGCAGCAGGTCGCCCGCCAGTGCTTTGAGCTGACCAAGGAGCAGATGGAGAGATCCTCAGCTGAGGTGGTGGCCGAGATGTTATTCTGAAGAGGTGATTCTCTCCCTTCCCTTGCTCCGCTGTTGCACTCTAACCAGAGATTCCTCGTTGGAGCCACATGAGCCGATAATGAGACGCTGAGCCACGGTCCTCTGCTCCTGCTCCGTGGCCAGTGGCCAGTGGCCTGGGAGCGCAGGTAGGGCAGGCGCCTGCCGGCAGCATGAGGCCCGCTCTGGCCAGAGTAGCTCTCCTGACACTGTTTTGGCCACTTGGGGTTCTGTTACTTGTAGGGACAAAAACACGGGAGAGCACTTGGAGTAGGTTTGGACGGTGGGCTGGGGAGGCCGCTGGAGCACTGATCCAGTCGTCCAGGTGAGGGCTCATATGGGAGCACGTGGCCGGGTTACCCTGAACCCTGAGCTCCGTGCAGACATGTGTGCACCCCCGGCCCCCATCTTCAGGAGAACTTGAGGGGCCGCCCGCCAGAGTGCGCCATGCACTTCTCAACAACCCCGTGCCCGGCTTATTTCTCACCTTTTGCACTGGAGCAGAATTTCTCCTTGGTCTGCACTGGAGTGCAAGCCCTAAATTATTTAAACTGCTTCCGATCAATTGTGCTTGGAATTGACCTGTTAGATCTACATCCTAGCAGTTCGTTTTTTAACTGGGTTTTTGCGTTTTAAAAGTCACATCCCAATGGTCCGGGAAGCTTTAGGCAGAACTGTGGGGCTTTGAGCGCGGCCCGTGACGGCCACCACGGCTTCTGTTTCTTCTCATTTATGTGATATAATGGGGCCTAATTTTGTATCGTTTTTTTTTAACTTCACATCAAATCTCAAGCATTTTGATGTTTATACAGCTTCTCTACATGTAGAATTCTTCATGGTTAATATTTTATGTAGATAATCTGTTGTCAGACTTTCAGTGTGCTTCTGCTGTTTTGCTGTTAACAAACCATTTCTAACATGTTTAAATATTTATTTGAAAGAACTCTTGATACTAAGGAGAGAAAAGGGTTTTCTAAAGTATGATGCTGTTCTTCCAGAAGAGTCCAGGAACCGTGTTTGCCAGGAAAAGGAAATAGTGGGGGTATTTGCCACGATTGTACGTCTTGTCGCGCAACAGCTGTGCGCGGTCCGTCCCCCACCGTCCCCGTGGTGGCGGCGTGTCCTGGGCAGAGCCGGGCCAGCGGGAAAGACCGCGAGCCTCTCCTGCCGCCACTCTGCGTAGCCGCGGGATAAACCCTACTTCTCTGAGATGTTTTATTTCGTGGAGAGTTGGGGTTTCCTGGAGACTGTGCATACAGTGGGGTGGTCCCCCCCCCACCGCCCCCTTGCTGCAGCTTGTGGGGAGCCACAGCGGGCTCCACGGCTCTCGCTTCCCCATCGGGAGTTTTCGGGGGAGCCCCGGTCACGAGTCTGCTCCCCTCCTGTCCCTGCCCCTGCCCCTTGGGGATCAATGCAGGGCCACACGCACGCCCCTTCCCTGTCGCTCCTGCTCAGTGACAGTGGCACCTTCCAGCGGGGGATGCCCCGGGCCCCCAGGGTGGAAGTGGCGAACCACGTAGGGGCAGCTGCTGGTTGCATTTTTCGTTCCGTGTGCCAGAGCTGCACGGGGCGCACGTGGTCGCCGCGGAGCCCTCTGGCTGTGGGCTGGGCCGCCAGGACACCGGGTACAATGCCCAGCGAGCTGAAGTCGCGGCCACGCGGTGGGTAGTGGGTGGATGGCGGCGCCCGGCGCTGCTCCGGTGCTCTGGCTGCTTGGGTTCCTGGCATGCTGATTTGTGACTTAAGATTAAAATCACATTGCCAGGGATTACCACGCAGCCATGACCTTGGCTGCTCCTTCAGAAGCCGTAGTTCTCTCTCTCTGCAGTTCGGAGAACAGACGCATCTTGTAGCTCTTCTCCGGAAACAGAAGCAGCAACAGCCGTGGAAGACGCTCGGCGGCCCGCTCCTTCCGCCCAGCCGACGACCTCTCTGCCGAGGTGCAGAGCTTAGCTGATTGGTGAACAGTGACTGGTTTCCGCTTTGTTCACAGTGGCTAAGTTCTGCACCTGAAGAGAAGGTGAGATGGGGACAGTTAAGCTGCTGGGGCAGAGGCCGCCGCTGAGCGGTCCGCTCGGTGCCGGGCGCGATTCTGGAGGCTACGAGACTGCTCGGCTCCGAGGATGCGCTCCCTCCTGTCGGGAATACACGAATGTACCAAAAGTCTGCGGAAATATAAACTCACTGATTAGATACCTGTCTGAAAGGTCAAATGTATTGAAAGCTGCAAAACAACTTCTCTTAAGAACTAAAACCAAAGGCATCACCAGAAAAACCAAGTGAAAGCTATGTCAGCAGTGGGTTGCGTGTGAGTAGGGCTGGTGCTTTCCAGGCGCGCCCTGCTTGCAGTTGCCGAGCACGGTAACCTCTGTTTTGTGTTCGCAGCCCCCGCAGGACGGCGCCGAGCTCCCAGCCGAGGCACTGCTTCCGGGCTGTCGATTGGACCCGCCCTCCGGTGCCTACTGAGCTGATATCAGTTCTCATTTTACACACTGGCTCAGTTCAGCAGGAACAGGAGTCGAGCCCTCGAGCAAAAAGCCTTCCTGTTTGCAAGTGCCCAGAGGCTCCGGAGCTGGGACTGCGCCCACGCGAGGAGCACACGTCGGTGGCGGCGCCCATCTGTATGTGGCCCCGGGGTGTGGCTGTCCGTAGAGCCCTGGCGCCCTGGCGCCTGGAGGGCGTGAGCTTCCATCCTGGAGGCGGACCGCAGGGCACCTTGAGGCTGTGGGAGCAGGTGCAGTGAAGGGGGCCGGAGCCACGTGGGGCAAAGAAGGCCGGGTGCGGCCGCCGGCTCTCACGGCCGTGTGCGAGCGACGCGGCTGTGAACCCCACTGGCGGGGTCGTGAGGTGCAGCCGGTCTCCTCCCGTCCTCTGCTCAGGTCCTCTCTCCGAAGCCGGAGCGGAGGCGAGCAGAGGTGCAGGTACAAGCATTCCTCCGTTGTTACCAGGCAGTAAATTGTACTGCTCTTTCCTTTGCAGGGAAGATCTCAGCAAGATTCTTTCTCATGCATCTACGCCTAGCCCTGGTGGGACCAGGATCGCACTGACCCTCGACATCGCAGGAAGGGTCATGGGGCTGCTAAAGCCATCAGCCAGCAGCATCCACGCCTTGGTGCTTCTCTTTCTCGAGGCTGCTCTCCCTGGAGCTCATGGACCGCATGGTGCCTTTGTCCCCTGCCCTGAACTTGCCACCTCAAGATCAGTCTGTGTTGGATCTCTTCCATGAGGCGAAGGCGCTTCTTTCACACAAATGATGAAAGCTGCCTGAGATGCATTGGAAAAGCTGCTGAACATTTTGCATTGATCCCCTCAGCATATGGCTGCACTGGAGATTTCTAGAATTCCAGGAAGTCACAGCTTCTGTATCCTGGGACCAGTGGAGTTCTTCTCCAGATCATTTCAGAAAGATTCTGCAGGGTTATTTTGATTGCTAGGTCTGTTGTTTAAATTTGTCCAAAATGTTAATACCCTTGGTAAAAGGGCAGGGTGAGAATCCAAGACGTATTCATAATAAAACAGTGGATTACTATTTTTGTATTCCTGTGTGCTTCTGAATTTAGTAATGTTTTTAAAAAAGAAAAACGGTGTTACCTGAGGGGTATTCTCTGCAAGCTGGCCCTGCCCCTCTCCCGCCCACCGGCCCCCCTCGTGGCTCTCCCCACGCTCGGAGACCAGGCTGCCGGCGCCATGCGGGCCGAGCCCGCCTCCAGGGCCGAGTGCACCCCGCTCTGCATCTGGCCTGTGGGAGGAAGCGTGGCGTTAACACCTTCCTTCATCAGCAGCTCTTGGTCTTCAGAATTCTTTAATGGAACCTAGAAGGTTTCCGGGGGGTTTGCTCTTCGCTGTTACCCGTGCTCTGCATACGAGGATATGTGCCTTGTATACCACAGTGGTACAAGAATCATTTGGATTTTTGAATTTGAATAAATGTAAGAGCGCTGCTCCCTGTGCCGACTTGGAATAGATGGTCTGCGTGAGCGTGTTGGGCCTGCCGGGTGGAGCAGGAAGGGACCGGGGGGCGCACACTGCGCCTGTCCGCATGCACACAGCCGCTCCGTTCCCCCCTGTGGCCGGGAGCAACCAGTTGGCCCAGTGGTTAGCTGACTCTTGTTTTTCCATAAAGTTAAAGCCCCCCTTTGTCTCTGGAAGCCACTGAGGCAGGACTGAGCCACCCCACGCATGGGATTTTACACAAAGACAGCGGATTCCCTTGCTCCCGTGATCCCGAGTCTTGCAACCAGTTGCGGCCCGTCCGTGAGGGGTCACCTGAACCGACACTCCCCCCCACACACACACACACCCCGCCCCCAGTCCCCTGCCCTGTCACTGCCTTGGCTGAGTCCTGTGCCGTGTCTGCCTTCTCGGCCTGTGACACCGGGGGCCTTGCCTGTGCCGGGTGTTGTCCCCCACGGGGACGGTGAAGGAGGAGGGGTGAGTGGATGCCCTGAGTTTCTGCCCACACGGCGAGATACCCGTGGCCGCCCCGCAAAGAGGGGACAGACAGTTCGGACTAGCGTGCTGATTTCTGCACGTGTCCTCTGATTGCAGAAAAGCAGCCGTGGCGGACCCCCGGGGGCGCGCAAGGGGCTTGGGATTAGAAAGCCCACTGCCCTCCCTGGGTTGCTGTTCTCCGCAGGTGCACATAGCGCCTTCCGAGGGCGGCCTCAGGGCAGGCGGGAGAATTTGCAGGGGGCCCGGGAGCCCTGGGGACAGAAGATGGGCCATTGTGGAGAAAAGGGTGTGGGTGTGCGGGTGAAGGAGGGAGGCTGCCCGGCCCAGCTTCCCCTGGTGGGACCCCTCCTCCCCCCGAGACAGGTTTAACCGGGCAGATCCCCACCTAGTAAGTGACAGGATATGAATGTGGGTCCACATGGCTCAGGATTTCCCTCCCCGTGACAGCTCCTCACGGCCTGGACTGTCACACGCTCCCCAGGGACAGCCCACCTGTCACTGAGGCCTGCACTCCTAACCCGATTTGCTGTAGGGATGGGCCTGCGTGAGGGCGGGGTCAAGTGACCCCGGCTTTGGGAAAATGGCATCTTGAGTCCCCAGGGAGACGGCACAAAGACCCGTCTGCGGGGCAGTCTCGTACACTTCTGGGCGGCACGGGTCCTGGTCTCTGCTCCCCCAGAACTCCTTTCTGGCCTAGGCGGTTCCCCCGACCCCTGCCATAGTTCTCACGTTAAGCAGACACAGGGGGCTGAGCTGACCCCCAGGAGGAGTGGGAGAAATAAACCGGGAAGAACAAGCCTGCTTCCCAACAAGACGGCGCACCCCCAGCAGAGCGCCCGGGACAGGAGGGGCCCACCAGTCGCCGTCGGTCCCCTGGTCCAGTGAGAGCGGCTTCCTTAAGTGGTGCGTCAGTTTGACCCTGAATCACACTCGGTCTTTACTGGCTGCCAGGAACCCGGCATTTCCCAGGGGCGGTTTGGGGGCTCCCCGCCAGCAGTAGTCCATTAGCAGGCTCGCTCCTTTGTGAGGCACCCCTGGCCCGAGCCCCCCCTGGGACGTGGGGGCCATTGAGCAAGCCCTCCACCACCGCCCCCAGCCAGGCAGTCAAGCACAGAACTGGCGGTGTTTTAACAGGTTTATTAAAAAAGCAAGAAGCAGAGCCTTGTCCTCTGAGCGAGTTCTTGGGTTACCTGCCGGTCAGCTGTCCTCCCCAGAACCAAGGGCTCTAGAAACTGAAGCGCTCCTCCGCCCCTTAGGGAACAGACCCTGTGTCTTTGAAGAGCAAGTCAGGTTGGGGACAGAAGCACATCTCCCCAGGTCACCTTGGCTTCCAGCATGTTAGGAAACAGGCGGGGCCAATCTATGGTTGGACTGAGGGGCCAGGCCTCCAATGTCCCCGGGGTGCTCCCCACTGTGCTGGGCCTGGCTGTCAGCCCCTGGCCAGTCTGAGGCAGCCCCCGTTCCTCTCCTGGCCGGTTGGGCTGAGGGGCTGAGCTTCAGGAAGGGGGTAAAGGGACATCCTCAGGAGCCCTTGCTGCCCACCTGGCTCCCATCACCTGGCCCTGGGCTTTGTGCAGCGGCCGGGGCAGAAGTGCTGGGCGCCCCAGCTGTACCAGGACCGGAAATGCAGGGGGTGCGGGGAGGGGGGTGATGGGGGAAGAAATACAAGGGAAGATGTTTCAGTTCTCCCTCTTGGCCTCTATTTTAAGATGACAGGGTTTCAAAGCATTTATTTTTATTGGAATTTCAAATCAAAACATAGAAATAATAGTCTCCATCCCAAACGAGGTACAGACATGTCACAAAAGCAGGCAGAACCCATGTCCCAAGTACAGGAACCAGAAATAGTAATGTGTCCCTAACCTTCAACTATCCATTTAAAATGAAGAACAGAGCTCCAAAAGAAAGGCCTCAGACAGATGTTTCCAGAGCATCCTGTCTCTCTTCCCTGACCCGGCTGATTCAGCATGGACACTTGGCAAAGCCCAAACACGGGGTGCGCCAATGTTTTCAGAGCTTTCCGTTCTGGGCCACCCACTTCCCGTTCTGCAGCCGAGCGGCGCGGTGGGAGGATGAGGGGCATGAGGGGGGCTCT